TAGATTTAATTTCTATATCTCTTTCAATCGAAAAACTTTTTAACATTCGAACCATCCGATTTATTTTTTACGATATCTGTTAATTCGACTGTTAGTATAAATACTGTTATTTGAAAATAATAAAATGAAAAGTAAAGAAAGAATGGAAGAACATTTTATTCATTTAATCGTCCAGTCGTAATTTATTATTTTTAATTTTCATTGAACGCATTACTTTAATAATACCGACGATTTTCGTATAATAATTTTAATGATAAACGAGAAGGAATTCGCAAAATCGTTATTTTTTACGGATTTGATAATTTCTATGAATTAAAACATAGTACGAGTATAATTCCCCGTTTTATTGAAACATACATATCTCTTTATGTCAATCTCATTATATATTTTATTCTTTTAATATTTAATAATAAAAATAATAATAATAAAAAAAAAAAAAAAAATAATAATAATAATAATAATAATAATAATTTTTAATTTTAATATGTTATTAATTTGCCTCCGTGGAAAGGATTATTGCGAGATAAAAATGAAAATCCATCTAAATATCACTAAATAAAAATACGCTGGAATGTAAATTTGATATTCTTTATAAATATGACAAAACTCTCTCTCTCTCTCTCTCTCTCTCTCTCTCTCTCTCCCTCTCTATCCATCTATCTATCTCTTTCTTTCTTTATTATAATTAACGATTGAAAAATAAGGTAATTTGTATTTAATCCGCGTCTATTTCTGTTTATATTCGACACGGTGATCTCTCTATTACGATTAATAGTATGAATTCAAAACTATATCGATTTTGTAATTAACAGAACAAAAAGCCAAATAATGTTTCCGGGAAAAGGCCATTGTTACGAAGTATCTACGTCGTGTTAGACCAGTTAACAATGCGGCGATACGAATAAAACCTAGCGACAGGTAGTGCGAGATTAAGGTTTCGACTACCAACATGCAAACATAACGTGACATAACGTTCGTGTTTTCTTCGACGAATGCGTGCAACGCGACCTATTATTCATCATTTCAAAAGAGATGCGTTTGTATTTATCTAATTCGCATTTAAATCTTCCGCGTTTATTGATCTATCATATTGCGAAATGTAATCTTAATAAACAAACAATCATTTCTTTTTATTATTATTATTATTATTATTATTATTATTATTATTATTAATATTATTATTATTACTATTATTATTATTATTATTATTATTATTATTATTATTATTATTATTATTATTATTATTATCATTATTATTATTATTATTATTATTATTACTATTATTATTATTATTATCTTCTTTTCTTTTTTCTTTTTGACGTTATGTCCGATCGTGAAAACAAAACGATCTTTGCGATATTAAGAGATATCAAATGTATAGGTTTTGTCTTATCAACGATACGACGATCCCAAGAGTGATCATCGATCGTGGAATCACTTGTAAAAGCGTACTCATCGAAGAGAAAAGAAATTTTTTTTTTCTTTTTATTTTTTTCTTTTTTTTCATTTTTTTTCCTTCTCTTCTTTAATCTCAGAAATAAAGGAAAAAGAAGACGGAAGAAAAAAGAAAAGAGAGGAAGAAAGAAAGAAAAAGAAGTAAAAAAATAAAAAGAAAAGGAAAAAGAAAGAGAGAGAGAGAGAGAGAGAGAAGGAAGGGAAGATGAAAAAAAAAAGGAATAAACGCGTTAGATTCATTTTATATTTGTAATGCGAACTCTTAGATTTCATTATAAGTCCTTTTATAATATCAGCTTTAAACGGATAATAAACGTGGAAGGAAAGAGCTCTAAGAAGAAGTTTCAAAGTTCCTAAAACCAAAGTGTATTATAATCCGTGGTACTCGAGAATGGGAAGTGAGTTATATTCGGGAAAAGGAAAGTAGACGTTTCCTAAATGAAAGCAAACCTTCCTAAATCGAGGTTTAATAGCACAAGGCTATTAACAATATGCTATAACCAACGTCTATGTACATATATACGAAGGGTCGCGTCAAAGCTAATATGGCGGTAAGATGCTTTCTCTTTCTTTCTCTTTCTCTATCTCGTCAGATTGAAGGAAAAACTATATTTCATCCACGTATTCAAAACTTGAAGAAAAAAAGAAAAAAAAAGAGAAAAGAAAAAAAGAAAATGCTTTCAAAGTGTCAATTATATTTAATTAAAAATATCGCCATTATATCGTGACAAAAACGAACGAGACGTCATTAAAGATGTCAGATTTGGCATCCTAAGAATCATACGAAATACATATAAGCTCATCTTCTCGAAATAGAAAGAAAATGGATGGGCGCGTGGATTATTGGCACTTGAAAATAGAGGAAGAAATAGAGAGAGAGAGAGAGAGAGAGAAGACATTGTCGTAGCCAAGACACGTGCCATTTCCATCGTCATCTTCCTTCGAGAAATCTACTTTAAAAATACTATTACTTCATATTCTTCATCTTCTTCTCCTTCCGTCTTCTTCTTTTTCTTCTTCTTCCTCTTTTTCTTCTTACAAAATACATATATGTAAATATCTAACATACGAGCGCATGTACAACGTCTTGTTTCGGATAAGATCCTATTTGATTCCAGTTACGAATGTCCCGGCATTCATGATCGTTCTATATACTTAAACCGTTTCGTATAAAGTTACGCCGTTTTGGTAGGAGAAGTTTAGCGAAGTAGAAACGAACAAGGCTATTGGAATTTCGAAAAGGCCCAGAGCTTCAGGTAGAACAAGCTGATTTAGAACATACCCCTGCTCGGCAAGCATTTAACCGAATGAGGAATTCATCTCCTCGCGCCCTCGACGAATACAAGCAGTGAGAGAAGAGATAAATAGGTAGATAGATAAAGAGAGAGGGAAAGAGAGAGTGAGAGAGAGAGAGAGAGAGAGAGCGAGAAAGGGGGAGAGGGGAAAGAGCAATGTGTAATATGATGAGACACGCACGTCCGCACACACTTTCTCACTTTACTCACACGTTCACCAGCGGTTACACCCACGTCGAGGTCTCTCCTTACATGTTACCGCTTGACTTGCGTTGTCCGGCTCCAGCTCTTTGACTCATCTCCTCCCTCTATCGTTCTTCCTTCTCCCTCTCGCTTCCTCACTCGCTCACCCACTCCCTATCTCTCACTCTCTCTCTCTCTCTCTCTCTCACTCTATCTCTCTCTCTCGCTCTCTCTCTCTCGCTCTCTCTCTCTCGCTCTCTCTCTCTCTCTTCCCTTCTCGGACCTTTCTCTTTCTCCGGATCTCACACTACAGTTACGTATACACGCGATACCCAGTAACATTCGGCACTCGGTTCCACCATACTCTCTCCCTTTTCAGTCTCGTGAGAGTGAGAGAGAGAGAGAGTGGAAGAGGGAAGGAAAGAGAAAGAGGGAGTGAGCTTGTCATTCGTTATTACAATGGTGCGAGAGAGCCAAACGTATCACTGTGCATGTATGTAACCTATCACACGGAGAAGCATCCATGTATTTGTGTACGTATATATATATATATATATGTACACATAAATATATATATGCTATGCGGAGAAGCGTCCGCATAGCTCTTTGTGTATGTTATGTGTATATGTTTGAGTGAATAAGTGAGCGAGCAAGCGAGGGAGTGAGTGGGAGAACGAGTGAATAGTGCAAGAGAGATAGAGAGATAGGTTTAGAGAGAGAGAGAGGAAGAGAGAAAGAGACAGAGAGAGGGACAGAGAAAGACAAAGAGAGAGAGAGCAAAGCTGGAACGCGGTAGACAAAGAGAAGAAAAGGGAGGAAGCGTTGGCAAGTGTAAGTGAAACAGCGATGCGCTGGGTAGGTTGAGTGAGACAGAGATGGAAAGAGAGAGAGAGAGAGAGAGAGAGAGAGAATGAGAGAAAGAGAGAAATAGAAGAGCAACGAGGAGAGGTGGAAGATTAAGAAACACGCGAGCGCGAGGGAGACGCGACAACGCGGTGAATTCATCCGCGCGGTGGGTGGAAAGGAGACGGAAGCTGGGTGGATACTAGTGTCGAGTGCGCGAGGTAGGACGAACCGATGAGATAGAGAAAGAGAGAGAAAGAGAGATAGAAAGAGAGAGAGAGAAGACAGAGAGAGAGAGAGAGAGAGAGAGCAGAGGTGTCGATAAAGATTTTCTAACGTTCGTATTATATTCCACGTTACATGGCGTGTGCTTTTGTAGAAAGAGTAAGGTATTCGAATTAATGCGCTCTTGTATCACGTGACTCTCACTCTCTCTCTCTCTCTCGACATTGTTAAAATATACAAAGTTACTGTTTCCTTACGGAGAACGCGAATATCAAAGATTGAAATATCTTATTTAACGACTTCTTATCTTATCCCCATTATTCGATAAGTATTACATGAAAGAAAATAAGAAAAATCTTACTACGTTAACAACTAATCGTGCGAAAAGAGTTAATCGAATTTGTGGGAAATCGTCCAATGTAAAGGCACTTAACATATACGTTAAATCTACGTATGCACGTACACACATATATATATATATATATATATATATATATATATACATAGGCACGCATGAGAAGCGTCGTCCAGCAAAGAGCGTTACGAAATCGTTCGAAAGAGAGAAACAGCGACGGCGAGTCGCCCCCATCGGTCGACGCCCTTGACTCAAGGCGAAGCGAGAAACGAGTAAGAAGAGAGGAGTGCCGCGGGGAGCGGGTGCGGGAGGGTGTAGGGGCAGAAGGGGAAGCGTTCGGTTAGTCGGTGGATGGTCGAGGAGAGGGGAGGAGAAGCGAGCACGCGAGAGAGCCTTCGTTTCTCTATCTCTCTCTCTCTCTCTTTCTCTTTCTCGCTCATTTCTCTTTCTCTTTCTCTTTCTCTCTCTCTCTCTAAATCTCTCACTCCATTCTCTCTTTCTCTGTGTGTCGAGAGCGACCGTGAGCTCTCATTGGTCGTTCTCGGTCGTATCTCTCTCTCTTTGTCTCTCTTTCTTCCTCTCTCCCTCTGCGCGTGTGAATGCGCGCCACCAAGCGGCAGCGGCGGCGACGACGAACGGCGTTCACACGTTTCCCGTCATCCACTTGGCTACCCGGCTCGTAGTCAAGCGTCGTACGCCGTACGGTGCGTATCGTGTTTGGTTATGTATGTTACGTTTAGTACCGCGAACGAGCCGGCCCGTAACCGTTTCCTCGATTATTTGCGCGTTCGATAAACGTGTGTATATATTTGTTGTGTGCGCGCGCGAGAAAAAGAAAGAGAGAGAGAGGGAGAGAGATAGAGAGAGAGAGAGAGAAGGAGAATCCTTCGAAGGTAGTGCTCTCCATCGACAAGTGTTTCCCCTCGTTGTCCTGTGAGAGAGAAAGAAGGGGATTGAGAAAGAGAGAGAGAGATAGAGAGAGAGAGGGAGAGAGTGTGCGAGATAGTATCTCGGTGAGTGTGTCTTGTCTTTTTTGTCTCTCTTTTTTTCTTTTCTTTTCTTTTTTTTTTTTTTTTCTACCGCAGTGCCAAGGTGTATATAACGAAATTCACGAAAGCATTAAATCGAACGATTTTACTGAAAAACACTTGGATATATAATAGAATCGAAGAAATACGAAGACGAGATTTGTTTGGGTAATGTCTTTTCTTTCCCTTTTTTATTTGTTTATTTATTTATTTATTCCTTTATTTTTGTTCTTTACTATTACCATAAGAAGATCATTCTCGTTTTTAAATATCGATCGTCGCTCGATAAGGAAATTAAGAAAATCTTAGAGCTTAGTTTTAAATACTTTTTAAATACGTTTTAAATACGTTTAATATGGAAAATTCTCAGTCTAATATTTTCGTTTAGTTGTTCAAGAAGGAGAGAGGTTAGAAAATCGAACGAACGATCAAGGTGGAAAGATCGATCGAATGGCGCATAGACAGACGCGATGACGGTCACGCGCGACAATGAGAAAGGCATATAATACAGGAGTAGTAGGAGACACGTAATTTCCCTGTTATATTCCTTGCTACTCAATATCGCCTCTGTTAATTACAAATATCGTAGATCCTATCGCATACGTATTAACGTCGAGTTTAATCTTGATGACTCGCTTTGTCATTTAACCTCGCAAATTCGTCGCAAATACAAAATGTAATCGTTCGGATAACTACATAATATGTATATATGTATTTGTGTATACGCACGTAGAGATAGACGTTCATTCGTCTCTTTGTAATAATAACACATCACATTGATACACTATATTTATGTATGTATATTACATATGTATATATATACATATATATATATATACATATATATATATGCGTATATATAATCGAACATGAACGAACGAACGAACGGGCAATGATAAAAAGCTAAAGTGAGGTTAAGTTCGTCCGTCCATCCGTTCGTGTCCCTCTTTTACGAGAGCTCCAATTTCAATCGTCTTTAACGTTTCGTCCAACTCTCCGAGCGTGGGTTCCACTTAACATCGATGGTTTCTTAATTCGTTTAGTTCACTAGGTTAGCTCGCGGGCTTTGAATCGTTCGCAACAAGTGTATTTATATCGTAACGAAAATTTATTCCTACGAACGTGAACGTCTTCTTTTCTCTTTGACGATTCCGTTTTGGTTAGTCATCGGTCACGAATTTACATTTGCTTTTTCTTTTATTTATCTTCCTTCTTTTTCTTCTTTTTTTTCTTCGTCGTTGTGTCGTCGCGTCGTCGTCGTCTTTTTCTTCTTCTTCTTCTTCTTGTTTTGTTTTTTCCTTCCTTTTTTTTCCATTATTATCTCCCCCCCTTTTTTTTATTTATTTTTATTTTTTTTTTTTATTTTTTTTTATTACTATTTCTTTAGTTTCTTTTTTTTGTTTTTTTTTTGTTTTTCCTTCGCCTTAACCAACAACCATTATTATACTCGTAATCGTGGTAAAAATTCGATTATCTCGAGCGTGCCAACGATAATGGACGTTCATTAAGTTATCGTTACGCGTACATACGTACGTACGTACGTACGTACGTAGGTACGTATATGCATACATACATATGTGCCAAATATTTTCACTCAGTTAAATATCTCTCCGTTAGAGAGAAAGATAGATAGATGGAGAGAGGGGGGGGGTCAGAGAAAGAGAGAGAGAGAGAGAGAGAGAGAGAGAGAGTATCGTAACTCCTGCAACTTTCCAAGAGTAACAAAGTTACTTATGTAGCAATTTTATTTTATCTTCCACCTCGCTCGTTAGTTTTCTACTGCTTTCTTTTCTCTCTCTCTCTCTCTCTCTCTCTCTCTCTCCTTCTCTTTTTTTCTCTCATTCTCTCCTTTTCTTTTTTCTGTTATTTATTATTCAAGAAGAAACGAGAACTTAACTTTTACCTTATCCCAATGAATTACTCCATCCATTTAGATAAGACCACGACGAGCCCATCTTTATTTTTTTTTGTTTTCTTTTGTTTTTTTTTGTTTTTTTGTTTTTTTGTTCCTCTTTCCTTTTCATTCTTCTTTCTTTCTTTTTTTTTTTTTTTTTTTCTTTTTCCCTTTCCCCCATAACCCTCGAATCGTTTCGAAACGGTTCGATTAATTAACAAGAAAAGTGAGAAAAAGAAATATATAAGGAAATGAATAGAAAAAGGAAAGAGAAGAAAAAAGTCTCGCTCTCGGACGAACGAACGAACGAACGAACGAACGAACGAACGGGACTGAATAAAAGGAAACAAAGGATAATTATCGAATATGACACTTTACTTAAATGAAAACATTTCATTCAATACGTCGTTATAGTTAACTCTCGAACAACAATTTCGTCCGGAAAAGGGATAATGTAACGAGCTGGCAAAGCTGCTTGGAATCTTTCCTCCTCGTCGGTTTATTAAGTAGTACCGCCTGCCAGCACGTACAAGCAGGACCAACAGCTGCGAGAGTAGTAGATTACTGGAAAGTGGTGGAGGCGGTGTATGTGTGTAAGAGAGAGAGAGATAGAGAGAGAGAGAGAGAGAGAGAGAGAGAGAGAGAGAGAGAGAGAGAGAGAGAGAGAGATAGGGGGGGGTAGTAGAGATAGATAGATAGAACGCGCACGCCTCAAAGTAAGCGACTAAAGAGAGTGAGAGAGAGAGAAAGAGAGAGTGACGAAGAGGAAGAGAATATTCAGAGGGGACCGACGATGATCGTGAATTGGCATTCTAGGCTCGTTAAATCATCGAGACGATAGTCGCGTTTTTCTAACATTTTTCTTTTTCTTTATCTATTTCTTTTTATTATCGTTGTTATTACTATTACTACTTTGTTTTTCTTTACATTCTTTTTGTTTTGTTTTTTTTCTTTTTTTTTTTTTATTTTTTTCTTTCCAATTTTTCTTTTTCTCATTTCTCCCTCTCTCTCTCTCTCTCTCTCTCTCTCTGTCTCTCTCTCCTCTCTTTTTTCTTTATTAGTTTTTTTTTCTTTTCTTTTGTACACACTAACATAGTTCTCTTTCTATCTCTCTTAGTCACGTTCTTGTAACACATACGTTTTTTTAATTTTTTTTCTATCTTTTTTTTTTTATTGACACGTTTACATTGCTCTCTCTCTTTCTCTCTCTCTCTCTCTCTCTCTCTCTCTCTCTCTCTCTCGTTCTTTTATCTAACGAGCGCATGCGCCGAACATGAACGTTCAAACGATAGCACATATTCGCACGACAATCCCTTTGTCTCGCGGCTAATCGCGCTTATCGGCTCGTAAACCGCGTTGTCCCTCTCTCTCTCTCTCTTTCACTATCTATCTATCTATCTATCCATCTATCTATCTATCTATCTGTCCGTCTATTTATCTGTCTATTCCCCCTCCCTTCTCTCTCTTTCTCGTGTTCTCTTTCTAGTTCACCTCCTCCTTCCCTCCCTTCACCTTCTCCTTCTCTTTCTCCTTCTCTACCACTTCCTAGTAGACTTTGAAACAGTCATGACAATACGCTGCCTTGTTTTTGCACGCGAGGTCACCCAAGAACGGTTTCTTATAAGTCGACTCTTTCCACCTCGATCCTTATCGTTTATCTCGTATACCCCGTTCTCCTCCTTCTCCCCTCCTCATTCTCTTTCTCCTCTTCCTTCTTCTTCTTCTTCTCCTGCTGTTCCTCCTTCTCCATCTTCTCCTTTTCCTCCTCTTCTTTTCCGCCTTTATAAACGACCCTATTGTTCTTCGATTATTGGGAACGCGTAATACGATTATTAACGCTTTTACGATGGAAGATCGATAGATCGAAGGAAGGATCGATCTCTCTTTGTTATCTTTCTTTCTTTCTTTCTTTTATTTTTTATTATCATTTTTTTTTTTATCTTTATTCTTAATTCCATTTATTTATATTTATTGTTATTTATTTATTTGATCATTTGTACGTGTTCTTTTATGAATTGATCTATAATCGAATTGTTTTCATTCCCGTTATATAATTCGAAATTCAATAATATCGTGCAATTATATCTATTATACTAAAAGTGTAATTAAATTATACTTAAAAATAAATATACATAAATTAAACTATTTTAATTAAAAATAAATAATTAGTTGTACTTAATATATATATATATATGTTGTTTTGAAGTTAACTCTTTCTCTCTTTCTCTATAATTAGATTTCTTCTTTTGTATCTATAAAAAAAAAAAAATTGTATAATTAAAAAAAGGTGATAGTATTACTTGTGTTGCAGTATAATCGTAGTATAGAAAAAAAAAAAAAATCATAAAATGAACTTCATTACGAAGTAACAATTAATTTTTTATCGATGAAATAAAATCGAACTTCAAAGATATAGATTTGTTATTATGCGATTTTGAATTAACAAGCATTATAATAAGTTAATTCTTTGTGATTGTATTTCTTTTTTTTTTTTTTCCCTCCAAATATAAAGATAACACATTAGTCGAAACGATTATCCGTAGTTATTATATAGCGGGCGGATCGAGTAAAACAAATTTATTTAATTATACAAATATTATTACATCATTTGAGCCATATGTATATTCATACATATTTAATAATTTGCCGTTAATTGAAAGGTAAACACTTGTAGCATATATAATTGTAACTGCGTTGGGTGAGATCAGATATTCGTGCGGAAAAATGTTAATTTTAATGATTAGCGTTTATCAAAGATAAAAAAAAGGAAAGTAAAAGAAAGAAAAAGGAGGAAAAAATTCGTGTTTTTTTTTTTTTTTTTTTTTTTTTCTGAAATAATGACATTTAAATTTTCATTGGACAATTGTTAATTGATCATTTAAAGTAAGAAATCCGATATTACGAAAATAACATATAAGAGGAAGATTACGTTTGACTTAAGAGAGTTTGATAAAAAAAAAAAAAAAAAAAGTAATGTACAATGATGAATCGATCGAAAACTATATAACGATTTACGACCACTCAGGTATTCGATACGTGATCGAAATCGTAATTTGTGTCTTACGAATTAAATACATAAATAAATAGATATATAGATAAATTGATAAGCTGATAGATAGATAGATAGTTAGGTAGATAGATAAGCAGATAGGATAGATAAAGAATATATGTGCACGTGCACGTACATTCGCGCTCACGCACCACGTATATGTGTGCACACGTGTGTATATAATCGTTGTTGTTTATCCGACACGTGTAGTTTATATATCTCTGATGGGCAAGTAATAGAGTATAAGTGCCAATATAATTAGTTTCATAGAGAAGCACTTATAAATTGTATCTAATACTTAAAGTGTAATTTATATATAATATAAGATCGGGTATTAGACTTTAAAGAGATTTATAAAGATGGATAAAGTATGTTTTGTCCAATTGGATTTACAAAATATATAATGCTGCATATCATTAGTAAAGGACAGCGATGTGTAATAATATATTAACGTGTTTATTAAATTTTTAATTTTATTAAAATTCGACTTATAAACATTTGCCGGTACACCAGAGATTATGATCGTGTTAAGTCGCATTAAAAAAGGGGGAAAAAAAATAAAATAAAAAAAAAAAAAAAGAGAAAGAAGGAATTAAAAAATATTTAAAAAAAAAAAGAAAAATATAGAAAAAAGAAGAGAGAAAAAAAATCACGAAGAGGTGAGAATAGACGTACGTAACTTTCGATCGTTAATTAACGCGGCGCGTTTTCGTCCTAATAGCCGTTGTACGGTGTGGAGAATCCTTTAAAAAGTCGTAAGCGCGTACCCCCGTGCTCACTCGTTGCGATAACGATCAAAAAAAAAAAAGAAAGAAAGAAAAAAGAAAAGGGTGGGTTGTGACGGGGGGGGGGGAAGAAATCACGAGGATCGCGTGGTTAAGGATCTCGAAAGCGATTATACGAGATTCGCGATAACTTTCTTCGTGACTCGTTCGTCCCCCAGTATTGTGTCTGTCCCTGAGTGTTGCCCCTCGCCATCGTCAACGGATCGATTCGATTTCTCTCGATCGGTATGAGGAAGAATACATTAGTTTCTCTTTTTTCTTTTTTTCTTTCTTTTCCTCCCTTTTTTCTTTTTTATTTTATTTTTTAATTGATATAATGAGAACACTTTATGTTATTCATTTTTATTTTGTTTTTTATCTTGTTTTTTATTCTGTTTATCTTGTTTTTTTTTTTTTGTTTTTTTTTTTTTTTTTTAAAGAAAAACATATATCCAATACGAAACTTACGATATATTATAGGTAATTTATACTTACGATGTTATGTTATGAAGATAACGTTAAAGAGGGGAGAGAGAGAGAGGGAGAGAAAGAGAAAGAGAGAAAGAATTCATTTAATTAGAATCGTTTGAAGAGGACATATATGTATATATATATATTTTTTTGTTGTATCAGGGATTATCTATCATTTTCTTTTCTTTTCCTTTCTCTTTTATGATTTTTTTTTTTTTTTTTTTTTTTTTTTTTTTTTCGTTCTTTTTCTTATTTATCTCCAATCGCGCGCACTTATTCTTATAAGTACATATGTACATATTATTCTCGTTCATACTTGTTTCACAAATTAGCCACTTACCAGATTAAAGATAAAAGATAACTGCGTTACACGTATGCAATATATGCGTGGAAAGACACGTATCGATTTTATCTTGACGGTCATCGCGCGTTACTCGCGTTAAACGTTCGATAGCGATTCTTCCCGGTTATTACGATAACGATTATCTATTTTATTGTGCAAGCAGGAAGAGAAGTTTACGCGTAAATATATATATATATATATATATATATATATATATATATGTATACTCATGCAATGTATGATAATAACATAATATGTAAACATATGTATGTATATGCATACATATAAACGAATGGTAAAAGTATATACTGATAAAGAAAAAAATATAGAGAAATCGAAATAGATAGAAAGAGAGAAAGAAGGAGAGAGAGAGAGAAAGAGAGGGAGAGGGAGAGTGAGAGGGAGAGAGAGGGTGAGAGAGAGGGGTAGAAGGAGAGAGAAGAAAAAGCTTTCTAGTGTGTTGTATATACTATATACAATGAACTCTACGATATTTTCACAGATACTTATCTCGGATCGATAGTAAAACGCGTTCGAGTTTATTATCGTGAATACTTTTTCTTTCGTTCTTTTTCCTTGTCTTTTTCATTTTCTTCTTTTTTTTTTTTTTTTTTTTCTTTTTTTTCTTTCATTTTTTTCTTTCAATTTATTTTACTGTTTCTGTTTTTATCTTTTAAAATTTTGTATTTGTCTTTTATTTTCTTCTCTTTTCCTTTCAACGTTATATTCCGTTCTGTTCTATTTTCTTTCTTTTTCCTTTCTTTTTCTTTTCGTTTTTTTTTCCTCTTTTTTTTCTCTTTTCCTTTTTTTTTCTTTCATTTTTTTCTTTTTTCTTTCTTTCTTTTTTTTTTCTTTTTTTTTTTTTTTCACGCCAGTACTAGCCGCTATTACGTGTCGCTCGAGCCGAAATGCGTTATTCGCGGAGAATGGAATGTTAACGGAGTTACATGACCCCATTTTCGAGTTACACGAAACATCGCTCCCGGTTACAAAGAGCTTGTAATGACGCGTCATGTATATGTAATGGCGCTCCGTTAAAAGCGCGAGAACGGATAACAATAATAGCGGCTATGTGTATGGGCGAAAGTTCACTCTCTCTCTCTCTCTCTCTTTCCCTCTGTCTGTCTCTGTCTCTCTTTATCTTTCTTTCTCTCTTTCTCTCTCTCTCTCTCTCTTTCCCTCGCGTGCGCTCGTATACTCCAAACTTTTTATTACATTTTTTTCACCGCAAATTTGACCATAATTTCCGTCGACTTCGTGATTTCGTGCGCGCGCGCGCGAGAGAGAGAGAGAGAGAGAGAGAGAGAGAGAGAGAGAGAGAGAGAGAGAGAGAGAAAGAGAGCATTTTAATATTTAAAGATAATATTTAAATATTTAATTGAGAGATTTTCGATATCTACGCAAAAAAAATTTCTTGTCGTTCGATATTACTTATTTTCTCTTTCTCTTTCTCTCTCTCTCTCTTTCTCTCTCTCTTTCTTTCTCTGTCTCTCCATCTCTTTTTCTTTCTTTTTTTTTATTTCTCTTCTTTTCCACTTCAATCCCAACTCGCTAGAAAGACGGCTCGGAGATTAGAATAAATGCTTTTGAAGGTAGTAAGGTATGAGTATTATATTCACTAGTAAATCGAATGACGAATCGATCGATCGAATCGATTTAACATCGTTTAATGATAACTCGTTTTATATATTCTATCGTTTAATTTGTTACATCGATCATTTCAATATAAATACTTAGTTTTTCCACGATTCAAGTTTCTTTTTTTTTTTTTTTTTTCCAGCGTATCGATTAAGAAATAATCGATAATAGGGATTTTATTATCCCGTTCAAAAAACATCTCGGAACGGTACGAATCTATTTATTTATATTTCTGTATTTTCCTTTTGTTTTTTTTTTTTTTCCATCCCCTTCTTTCATACACCTTGGCAATGCGATGATTAAAAGAAAAAGAAAAAGAAAAAGGAAAGAAAAGAAACAAAAAAAGAATTGGTCAGGAGTAAGTAGATCAGATAAAAAAATAATGTCTCTTTTAATTGAAAGTTATCCGACAGTTAGGTGACTACTCTCGAAAACTTGGGATTACGAGGATAGTGCGAGAGAAAAGGGGAAAACGAGGAAGAGGGAAGAAGAGAAAGGAGAGGAAGAGGGTGAGGGTGAGGGTGAGGGAGGGAGCAACGACGTTGTGATTTATTTCTTGCCATCGAGGAGAAAAGAAGGCAGTGCAACGTAAGTTAAAAGTTTTCGTGAAGGACCAAAAGGAAGAAGAAAAGGAAAAAAGGAAGGAAGAAAGAAAGAAAGAAAGAAAGAAAGGGAGAAGGAAGGAAAATAAAAGCGTGAATAGAGAAAGAGAAATATCAAAGACACGGAGTGTTTTATAAGAGTGAGATATTTTATTACAGCGTATCGCGAGTTAAAAAGAGAAGGAGGAAGAGGTGGTGGAGAAAGAGGAGGTGGAGAAAGAGGAGGTGGAAGAGGAGGAGTAAAAAAAGAGAAGAAGAAGAAGAAGCTTATATATCCGAAAAAGAGAGAGAGGTATAATGTATTGTGTTGCGTTTTAACGATCTATCGAGACTAAAAGAGAAAATCTAGTTGATATTAGAAAGGAGAAGGAGAAGCTGGTGGAGGAAGAAGGAAGTGGAAAAGAAGAAGAAAAAGAAGAAGAAAAAAGTTGAAGGAATAGAATCAGGAAGAGTATAAAGGAACGAAATAGCTAATGGAATTCATTGATGATTTTCAAGATGATGTTAGGAGGATTCGAACTGGATAATGGAGCACATGAAGTGACCATAGAAGAGGGACACTTCGTAAACGTGTGACTTGTGAAAAATTAGCCGAGAACAATTAAGATGTACCCCGCGCCGGCGAGACACCCAGCCGCTCCCGTAAGTATTTCTTTATCCTTATTTATTATATGTGCATGTATGTATGTATGTATGTATGTATGTATGTATGCAGTGTATCTAAACTGTTCAAAACAAATTAGAGTATCACAAGAGATCGCTACTCCAAATTTGTTTTGTAACATCAATCGTGTCAACGATAGTGGAAAAAAAAAGAGAAATATAAAAATAAAAAAGAAACAAAGAAAAAAGTTAGCCGGGAAAACTGTGAATTGATTTTTTTTTTCTTCCTCGACGCTTTATTAGGTACATTTACACATTTATAATGCCAGGAATGATGGGCCATGTTTACGGTGCACAATAGATACAATATGCTTGATCTTTTAATCGTTCTAAACATAATATTTATCTGGTATTATTGTGTCATTTTGACCCTTTTGTTCTATTATTAAAGATGACTAAAAGTAAGGCGGATATATTATGATTTAAGATGACGACCCATGGTCAGTCGACAAAATTCTTTTTCATTCGTTAAAAACACATTGTTGACCGTCTGTTATATGAATAAAAGAAGAAGAAGAAGAAGAAGAAAAAAAAAAAGGAAGTTCCGTCGACTGCGTGTATTTCTAATAAAATTTTCATATCGTTGTTTATATTATATTAAAATATTAAAAATTCGAGAGTATTGATAATACATCAAGGTATATAGATAAAATTATACAAAACAAATGAACAATGTTATAATAATGCAATTTTCTTGCACAATTTTATATTTCAATAATTACATACAGTTGCGTGCATGTACAACAAGCACAGATATAATCTTGACGGGCCAACAATGTTTTAAGACTTTAAGTGAACTTTAGATGGACTATTAAAGAACTTTAAATGAACGTAACATATCTTTCAAATAACTATAATATTATTTATCAAATATATTATTATTTATGAAATAAACAAATATTTATTTAGTTTTTATATATATTCATTTATAATCCGTTCTATATTTATTTGATATAAATCAAACGAGAAATCGATCACATTTATGTAATGGATGTAGTATCAGATGTTATACTCTGCTGACAACTCTTTGCTGTAGCAAAATCTTTTTTCTCTTTTCTTCTTCTTCTTCTTCTTTTTTTTTTTCTATTTCGTCTTTGTCTTCTCTTAACTGTTTTCTTTCCTACGTGACGTCATCTTTGTGCTACTCGTTTAAACTCAACTCATAAAACTCTTCCGACCCTTTCCTTGTTCCTTTTTTTCTTTTTTTCTTTCTCTCTCTCTTTTTTTTCTTTTTTTTTTCGTTTTTTTTTTGTACTAAAATTATATCTCTACTCTTTCTTTTTCATTTTTCTTCTTTTTTTCAACCACTCTCTCTCTCTCTCTCTCTCTCTCTCTCTCTCTATATATATATATATATATATATATATATATATATATATATATATTTAAATGTTTCCTAAAAATTTCGTTACACGAAGTATTTATACGCATACCTATGTACGCCTGTAGGTACGTAGATACATTAAAAAAACAAAACAAAAAAAAATTGGTCTCTCTCGTTTCACACTTCTAATGGGAACGTTTTTAATTAGTCGACGCATTAAAAAAGTTTATCTTCGAAAAAGTTACTTCGTATTTCGAACCACTCTGTATTTTACATATACGCGTTTAATGGCCAAACGCGTGTAAATACTCGAATTTATTTACTCGTAGGATCTTGTAAACGAAAAAAAAAAAAAAAAATAAAAGAAACTGAAAAAAGAGATCAAAAAATTTTTTTGATTGCTTAATAGAGACATAGAAATCACTGGGATGAGGGATCGATGGGGTTGTGGATGGGGTGAGGACGGAAGAGGATGTAGTACGATAAGAAGACGAAAGGTTCCTTTAACACGAGTTATTTTATTCATTCAAAAAGGGTAGAATTTTTTGCATCCTTTTTCATTTCTCCATCTATTTCTCTCTCTCTCTCTCTCTCTCTCTCTCTCTTTCTCTCTCTCTCTCCTTTGCATCATAGTAATTTCACGCGTCGGATAACCTCAAAGTCCTCTACATCGTGACAAGATCACCATTTGAGTTTGCTGACACACGCACACATATACATGAACATGAACACGTATACACACACACACACACACACACACACACAGAGAGAGAGAGAGAGAGAGAGAGAGAGAGAGAGAGAGAGAGAGAGAGAGAGAGAGAGAGAGAGAGAGAGAGAGACCCTGTTAGAAGAAATTGTGAAGATTATTTATAGAGGCATAAGTCAACGTACAACAATTGCCGTTCGTAGAAGTCACCATTGACGATATACTTGAACGTTTATTTGTCTGTCTTTACCTCTCTCTCTCTCTCCCCTCTCTTTTTCTCTCTCTTTTTTTCTTTTGTTAAACGTGGGTGTTCTCATCAGCTGATTGCCCTCTTCTTGGCACTACTCATTAAAATGTATACATACGATAAAAGATGACGAAGACAGACCAAGAGAGAGAGAGAGAGAGAGAGAGAGAGAGAGAGAGAGAGAGAGAGAGAGAGACAGTCATACAAATGGACAATTTTATGCATTTATATATATATATATATATATATATATAAATATACATATATATAAATATACATATTATTGTCTTAGCGAGGACTTAATTAATTAATTTCGTAAGAAGTAAGCACATGACTAGTATGAAACTCAAAGTAGATAGTTTAATGTTCGATATTTTGAAAAGGATGAGAAAATGGATTTTGAATTTACCTCTTGAATGATAAATTGCTAGAGTGAATTCTGCAATGGTCGACTCGCTCTCTTCTTTACTTGGCAAGCAAACAAATGATAGGCTTCTCTCTCTCTCTCTCTCTCTCTCTCTCTCTCTTTCTCTCTCTCTCTCTCTCTGTCTATCTATCTCTATGTCTCTCTCTTTCGTGTAACTCCTAACTCGTTCCTTTGTAATAAAAGCGGACGCAAGCTTTGCACGATGATCTCGTTTGAAGATTGTTGTTTCGTCGGTATAATACGGGTTTCTGGTTCCAAGATGAAAACTCACAGAAAATCTTTAAGCGCATCGTCGCGCGGCATGACGACAAAGAAAGAAATAGATCATTGCGAAAGTGCACGTTGTTGCGACGTGATTTTCTTTTTCTTTTTCTTTCTTTTTCTTTTTTTTTTTTTTTTTTTATCTTCCGGTTGTTAAAAAATAAAATAATAATAATAATAATAATAATAATAATAATAATAATAATAATAATAATAGTAAACGGAAAAAGAAAGCGAACCAAAAAAGAAGAAAAAAAGAAAAAGGAAAAACAAAAAAGAAAAAAGAACGAAAAAGAAAGGAATGGTGTATCGAGAAAATTGGATTCGATATCGGCGACGAGAGAAAAAGAGCGACGTATCCGCTTCGTGATTTATCGGAATGCGAGGAGATTAATCATTTTAATTGCACGCACGAATCGCTTTTATATCGATTTAGGATTTCTCTGCCAATACGCGACGCGTTATAAACGCTCGTACGTGTTTCACCTATTCGCGAACATCAAATTATAGTTATCGTTAAGGCAAAATCGCAACGTGCTCCCTATTTAAACGAGTCTTTTTTTTTTCTTTTTTTTTTTTTCTTTTTCTTTTACCCACGAATTCATGACGAGATCGATCGTTCGATCGATAGATAGATCGTTTTTCCACAATACATTTTTGTGCAATCTTAAGCTTTATTATTTTGAAGTAAGTATCATACACGGAATGCGGAACGTTATATCGATTCTCTCTCTCTCTCTCTCTCTCTCTCTCTCTCTCTCTCTCACCATTTTATATTTTAGCAAAAATGGCAATACTATTATAACGCGTTCGAGCAATAAAACTAATTAGTCGTTGCCAGAGTATTCTGTGAAAATTTCTATAAATGTTATACCGTTAAAATCGATACTGAAACCATATGATCGGTAGAGAAAGAGAGAGAGAGAGAGAGAGAGAAAGTGAGAAGAAAAATGAGAGAGATCATTTATACTAACACTACCTTTTATTCCTTTTTATTCGTTCCACATGTGTATGCGTGTGCGCGTGCACGTGTATATATATATATATATATATATATATATTTGTAGAAAAATAACACGATAATAATAGAGGCAACACGTCGATGAAAAATGTTCGAACATGGTAGACGATAAAATTAATACGAAATATACATTCTCTTATAGATTTTCTATCGCTTTTCAACAAATTCAGGCATCTTATAATCTATATGAGAAATCATGATGCCGACGTTAACATTTTCACGTTTAAATAATCTCGCATCGAACAATCGAAAATTGTTAATACATAAATACATACGTACATCTAACTCCGTACGTATTCGTGTACTCGTTTGATTGTACAAATAGTACGTTCGTTAAATGAGCAAAAGCTCAGACACAATTTAAACGTACCTTTATTAACAATTACTAGCCTCGCAAATTCTTAGCAGGTTCGCTTTGTTGATTCGTGCCTTGCATTACGAACAAAGGTTTTAAAAAAAAAAAAGAAAAAAAAAAAGAAAAAAAAAAAGAAAAAAGAAAGAAAGAAAGAAAAAAAAAAGACAGAAAAAGAAAGGAAAAAAAAAGAGAAGAAAAGGAAAAGGAAAAAGCAAAAAAGAAAAATACCACCGCTTTGTTTTCTCCTCTCCCGTTTCCTACCCTTTTGCTCTTTTATTTTTGCCTCTGCGTATCACCCTCTTTACCCTACTACCCTCCAACCCCGTTCAATCCTCCACCTCTCTTACTTCTCGTTCTTTACTCTGCACTTCCTCTTCTTCTTTCTTCGAGCCTCCCCTTCTCTTTTCTCCTCTCTTTTCTCCTCTCTTTTCTTCTCTCTTCTTCTCTTCTCTCCTTTCTTCTCTGTTCCCCACCCCCGCCCCCATTCCATCCCATTCTATCCCATCCCATCCCATCCCATCCCCCATCTTTACTACCTCTTGTTACTTTTTCAACGTTTATGCGACTCGTGCACCAGATTCTCGTGATTCGGATTATCTAAAAAAATGTTGCAAATTTTTTCTGGTTATTAATCCTTT